CCACTTTGCCCACTGCATCTGCAGGCGGGGGATGATTCCTAACAGCTTTCATTCCCTAAGAGATCTTCAGGAATTTTCACTTATTCATTCATTCATTCATTTTGACTAAACCACAAACAGAGCTCGCTTTTTTCCCCCTTTTACTATACTGGAGAATGGCACACATGCTTCAACATGGCCCAGTTTCTCATAAACCCTAATACTCCTTGCTAAACTCCAAATCAACTCAACCATCAATCAATCAACAAATATTTTATCAACAAGTGCCTACTATGTTCCAAACACTGTGCTAAGCTGGGGATACAAGCACAAAGAATGAAATAATCCCTACTCACAAGTACTTATTAATCACCTATCATGTGCCAGGAGCTGGGAATGCAAAGTGGAAAAAAAATGAGATGGCCTCTTCCCTCCAAGAGATCATATTCTAACAGGGAAAAATGATACATTCATAGATAAATACAGGAGACAGACAAGCTGTTTCAAATGCAGTGCAGTTTTAACTTATTAAGGCTTTGGAGAGATAGAGAAATATATCACTAGGCAGACATAGATATTGATATAGATAGATCTATATAGTAAATAGAAATTAAATATGTATATATTAATTTATATTTTATATACCATATATACACGCATATATATATATACACACACACATATATATACATACATATATACCCCTTCCACAAAAAGAACTCAACCCAAAACACATAATGATGGACATGGAAGGCACCAAAGGGGCAAAACCCCAAGTTCTCTCCTCGAACTACTTCACCTGCACATGTTACAGGATCTCCGAGAGGTGAAAAGAAACTTGAAAATCACCTACTGTGGCCCCCTCATCTTACAGATGAGGAAACCAAGGCCAAGAGCTGTTCCGGGACTTGGTCATACAGGTGGCAAGCATCCAAGTAGGATTCAAACCCAGGTCTTCCAACAAACCCATATCTAAGCTTTCACTGACTGGTAACACCATGCATCCATCAGGGTCCCGGAGGCAGGCTCTCACAGCCAGGAAGAACACAACTTTTGTCCACTGGCTTTCCTAGACTGTCTAGGAGCTCCCACTTTTGACAACTTGTCTGCTATTTCATACCCCTGATGAAACTCAGCTCTCCCACTCCACCTTCACCTATTCTTTGAAATACTGTGTATTTTCCCAGATGAAGGAACCTACAATTCTATTTTGGAGGGAGTTTTTGGAAATGTTGCAGTATCCCTCGTGATAATCAGACACACTAAAACGGGGGCTCATAACCTCCTGTGTGGTAATGACGATCTGCCAAACCCTACAGCTCCCTCTCAGAATCATGTTTTTCAATGTACACTGCACAGGGTTACAAAGGAAACCAGTTATAATAAAATACAGTTGTCAAAATTTTTTTTTTAAAGTGGAAGGACCCTTGGTCTCTAAGAATGCTTGTCCTAAGAGACAGAAATCACAGCCCAGACAGCCTGACAGGCACAGAACCAAGGCCCCGGCAGTCACCTGCTTCTATCAAGAGAACATCAAATCTCCAGACAACCAGAAATAAGCTGGAGCCTTGTGATCCGACCTGAGGCCCTGGCCCTCAGGTCAACTTTGGTCTCTGTAAAGATTAATGGCTCTGGGAAAATAAGGGAGCCAGAGGCCACAGGTCTCTAAGGATCTAAGCAAACACATGGTGGGGACAAAGATATGCAGAAGAAAGAAGAGGGGAGGCACAGGAGATGGAGAGATTTTCTTCCATGAAAATTCCAATGTTTAATACCACTCAGATTAGCCAGCAGGCATACAGGGAAAGGCCTACTTAACCCCCACCCCCACCTCAGTTTCCTGTCTGTAAAGTGAGGGGCTTGGACTAATTAGCTGGCATCTAAGATCCTTTTCTGTTCTATGTCCATGATCCCGCCATGTGTCCAACTTCCCAGTCCACGGCACATAGTAGGTACTTATTTACTGAGCACATAGTAAGTGCTTAGTAAATACCAGGTTTTAACAAGGAACAGGCTGAAAATTTGGTCCTAATCCCTGTCACCCAAGTTATCTCATAACTGAACTGAGGCCAAGCAGTTACTCTCTTTCCATAGGAAAATTAAGATACTGATGTTAAATGATTTGGAGGAGATGACTTTGAACAGCAAGGTGGGGGGGTGAGTGACACACTCAGATCAGAAGCACAGGGTTAGGGGCTACCTACTGGTGAGCTGCTCACTCTCCTAACCTCCTAACCAAATGTTAGTAATAACTCATTTCTCTAACACTTTAACGCACTTTCCAGTCAACAACTCATTTCTGTAACACTTTAGGGAGCTCTCCTCTCAACAACCCATCTAGGTCGGTAGTGAAAGCATTTTTAGGCCCATTTTACAGATGGGGAAAGGCAGGGGGGAGAAGGACTGAGAGGCGAAGTCACTTGCCCAGATCACACATAGCTAGTGTCTGAAGAATGAGGCAGTCTGCCTACCTTTCCCAGTAGCAACAGCATCTTGTGTTTCCCTATCTCTCTGAATTACAACATGTTTTTACATATTGTCTACAGTATCTACTTCGAGCCTTAGAACAAAAACATCTCTGAGACGCTGGGCAGAGACTACTCAAGGTCAGACTCCAAGAAGACGGCCAGGAACACAGGTCTGCTAATATCCAATCTGCACCTAAGAAATCAGAAACAGAAACACCAAAGGACTGGAACAAAAATTGTCACTGGACACTTGGAAGTCTATTAGTGAGACAATCAATTTTCCCCTCTCCTTTCTGGTCCCTCCGAGATCACCTCCGTGGAAAGAGTGAGGGAGCTGCATGTTGCCACAGGAAACCTGCCAGTTTCAAAGCACTCAAGGTGGGGCAGAAGCTTGCCACAGAGACATATTTAATCCACAGGAGAAAAGATGCCTTTGCTAGGGTCTCTCCTCCTCTCTTACATCTTCGAGAAGACTTTGCTCATCTCTCTAGTTGTTAGGGGTCTCTCCCTTCCCAGATTACATAATGTTTATTTTTCTATGTAAATATCTTTACATCGCCCCACCCCCCCCACCCCTACTGTGGGATGTAAATGAGCACAGGGGCGGCATGGGGTGTAATCCTGTCCAGCACAGTGGGAATGGATAGAGACCGTGACCGAGTCAGGAAGCCTAGGTTCAAGTCTCAACTCTCGACACATACAGGTTATATGACCCTGACCAAGTGATTTCATTTCTCAATAGCAACCGATCGCCTTCACTCTCTACCAATGAAACCACAGGTTCTGGGCAAAAAATAAAAGAAAATAATAACAACAACAACAAAAACGTCTCCAGCATATTTCACAATGTCTTGCACACAGAAGGTATTTAATAGGATGCAACGATAAAAAGAGGCAGAAATTAAAACGAGTTACTGGTAAACGAAGCTGCAAAGAGCAACCCTGGTCAATCCACAATGATTCATTCAACACACCTATCAACCAACCAGCATTTCATTCAGCGGCTGCTCTTTACCACGGCCCGGGGCAAGATACCAGGCAGGTGAATGGGGGGGGGGGGGGGCGGTAGAAGGGGGCTTAGCTGTTAGGAGGGCTAGGGGCCCTCTTCCCCAGGATTAAGTGAGGATTTTCTACTACCAGACACTGGGGTCTGTGTAAGGGGTGATGAGAGGCGGGTCATTTCAAACCAACCCTCTACATACTCACAGGAAAAATGTGACTTTTTTTCAAGGACGCGGACACTTTAGAAGGGTGTTCAGTGTGTGTGGAGAGGGGAGGGGGGGGGGGTTAGGGGTATCTAAGAGTACTCTCTCTAGCTGTTTCTTCTCCACAATATACATTCCCCACACACAGACACACATCCCGAGCCCCCATGCTCTAATCCACAAAGAGACACGGCCGGGCCCCTGCTGTCTACAGGGCTACCTCTTCCTTAGTGCTGCCCCGCGCACGAGAGTGGAATGGGGGAGGCGAGGGGGGGTGTTTTCTCCTCCCCCCACCCCCCGAAAAAGCTTCGGCAGGGGGTAGACCAGCTTGGCCGAGGCAGGCTCGGGGCAAATCCCGCGCCCAGCACCTGGGCAAACTCGGAGTCAAGCAATCTGACCCTAAGCCGGCTCCGACCGGACCGTGCCCAACGGCCACCCCAGGGCAGCTAGTACAGGCCGGCCGGAGAGGGAAGGAAGCAACTTCACCCCGGCAAGGGGCGGGCTCCCGGCCAGGGAGGGCAGCGAGCGTCCCCGCGATGCCAGACTGCAGAAGTTGTAAGCGAACCAGGAACTTCTCGCCCCCCGCGGGCGCTCGGGGACCCCCGGGCCGGGCAGGGTGTACCCCGCCGCCGCCGCTCCCCGGAGGTCCCACGGCGCTCAGTCAGCCCCCAAGCCCGGCGCTGCCCCAGGCCGCCTTACCTGGCTCGGAGGAGCTCGGGGCGAGCGCATTCCGCGGCCCCGGAGGCAGGAGGCAGCCCCGGCAGTGCCAGGAGGAGAAGGATGCCGCGCGTCCAGCCTGGAACAATCTCCCCCCCGCTTCTCCCTTCTCCGGCTCCTCCTCCTTCTACTCTTCCCAGTCCTTTCCGCAACAGTTGAAGGCAGCGGCGGCGGCGGCGACGGCCCCGGCCCCGCCCCCACCCTCTCCCGTTGCTGGGGCGACCCGCGTGGGCCGAAGGTTTCTTTGTATCAAAGCTTCTGTGACATCACAGGGCGCTGGGGTGTTGGGATTCGAAAGGGGCGTGGCCTCCGAACGCCCCCTGGGTGGGAGGCCCCTGAGCGAGTAGCGAAGAGCGGAGCGCCTGGAGTCTAGAGGCGGGCGGGGCGGGGCTCAGGTGAGCGGGCCAGCCCCAGGTAAGGACTGCTGGCAACCCTGGGGACCCGGGGGGGGGGGGGGGCAGGTGACTGCGTAGCCCCAGGCTGACTGCCGGGCGGGGGCGGGGCTTAAGTGGCCAGGAGCGCGCCCCGGGGGTGGAGCTCGGGGCTTGGACTCAAGCAGAGTGGCCCGAGCCGGAGAACTGCACTGGAAAGTTAATTCCCGGCCCCTCCTCCATCCCACCCCCATCAGTACCTATTTGTCAGGCGAGTCCTCTGCAAAACCCCTTTTTGTCCGCATGCAGTTCCCAGTAAAAGTGCCTCGGCTCTGCGGAGAAAACCACGCCTTGTTATTTTCGCGTTACCTGCATCTGCAGAATTCCTACGGCTGGGGCCCGAAGAGAGGCTGCAGGCGCCGGGAAATGAAAACACCGCGGGCCTGGGAGGCAAGAGACTGGGACTTTATTCCCCCGCCCTGCTCTGCCCCCGGCTGGCTAAGGCAAATCACCTCCCTCTCTCCGAGCCTCAGTTTCCTTTTCTGTAATAAAATGAGAAGGATCGCTGAAGTCCCTCCTAGTTCGACCAGTCTGTGATCTTCGAATATTAGTTTGTTTTTAAGTCGGGGGAGGGGGGGAAGAGGAGACCAGTTCTGATTTCACCTGTGTAAGGAATTCCCAGTGAGGAAATCCCCTCCACTAGTGTAGACCAGAACCTGCTCTACTAGGAAGTCTTTAGAGAATTGTTTGGGGGCACCGAGGCTTTAAATGATTTAGCCACGGTGTCAGTATGACTGCCCATCAGTGTCAGGCAGGACTTTGATCCAAAGTCTTCCTGACTTAGAAGTTACAAAGGGGGAAAAAAAAACCCACCACGAAATACACTCGACTCTCAATTATCCATACCATTTAAAAGACCTAGGGATTCGCATAATCCAGAAAAGAATCCGATCCTTTCGTTCCTTTGCTGAGCATCTTAAAAACAAGCAAAAAACAGTAAGCAACTGACCTCCCTAATCTTGTGTCATAGATTAATAACTCAAGAAACTTCCCGTTGCCTTTCTGTTAAAAAAAAAATAGATTCCTCGCGTCATCTTCTGCCTCCATTCATGCCTCTGCCAAACTCAGTCCCCTGGCCCCGTGTTTTCCCTTCTCACCTCTGAATCTTGGAACCCCTTGCCGGGGTCAAGGCTCAGCTCACATGACACCTCCTTAAAGAGGCCTTTCCTAATAACTCCACTCAGTCATTAGGCCATCCCCTCACCAGATCACCGTGAATTACTGGGGCGGGGGGGGGGGGGGGGGGTGGCCTCCTGCTTTGAGGGGATGGGACGTGCTATGCCCTTTGTGTACATATTACCTGCCCCTCCCAAAATGTAAGCTCTTTGATTTGTTTCACTTTTGTATCTATATCCACAGGACTTAGCATAGACTCCCAAATGGAGTCAGGAAGAATCACACTCAACTGAAAAAAGCTGAACAAACAGGAGGGTGGCAGAAGGAAGTCAGCTAAAGCTGTAAATGCTATAAAACAGCGTTTACACAAATAGTCAAGCAGGTAGAGTAGTGAAGTATTGGGCCCAAGAGGATCTGGGTTCAAGTGCTGCATTTGACTCATACTGACTGGGTGATCCCTGGCAAATCACCCAGCCTGTCCAAGTTGCAGAACCTACACAGTTAAAAAGGATCATGGACTTGGATTTGGAAAGGACCTCAGAGGCTGTCTAGACCAATCCCCTTATTTTTACAGATTAGGAAACTGAGGCCCATAGAGGTTCAGTGACTTACTCAGGGTCACCTGGTTGGTATGACTTAAAGGCAGGATGAATGGAGGGGAAAGGAAGAGGAGGCAAGGAGACCAATTAGGAGGCAGATGCCATAGTCTCCAGCAGGAGATGATGAACTAAAGTGGCCTCGGGAGTGGGGAGAAGGAGATAGATTCCTACTGGGGAGATACTGGAGAGGGACTATAGGCCTGGCTACTGAGTGAATGTGGAGGGGCAGAGGGAGAGAGAGAGGAGTCAAGGATGACTGGGCTTTTAAACCTGGGTGACTTGGAAAAGACAAGGAAATTAGGAAAAGGGGAAAGTTTGAGGGAAAGATGAGTTCTATTTGAGGTATGTTGAGTTAGAGATCCTTATGGGTCATCTAGTTGGAGAGATTCAGTATGGCGGCATGGGACTGGAGTTCAGGAGAAAGGCTTTGCCTATATATGTAGATCTAGAAGCAGTCCTCATAGAGGTGTTCTACCTGAACCCATCCATGCGGGCCCATCAGTAAGAAAGAGAGTGTAGGGAAGAGGGCCCAGGACAGAGTCATGTCAGACACTCACAGCTATAGATAATGGTACAGGAAAGGAGATTGAGAAGTGCCCATCTGGTAGGTGGAAAGAGAACCAAGCCAGATCAGTGTTAGGAAAAGCCAGGGAAGAGAGAGTGTTTGGGAGGAGAGGTGCTCACCAGCATCCCATGTTGCCGAACACTTGAGAAAACTTGAAAGACAAAAAAGGACGTTCGGTCTAGCAAATGAAAGATCACTGGTCATCTTGGAGAGACCACTGAGGCTAGATTGCAGAGGACTAAAGAATGAGTGGGAGCTGAAAGGGTGGAGGAAATTACTGCAGCCAGGTTTTTCTAGGAGTTTGGCTGTGACGGGAAAGGTGTAAGATGATATAGCTTGAGAGGATGGTAGGATCAAGGGAAAGGTTTTTTTCATGGCAAAGACTTGGGCAGATTTGTAAGCAGTAATGCTTCATAACCCAGGAAATAAGGAGAGATTGAAAATTAGAGGGGAAAAGGGGATCATTGAAGGGGCAGGCTCCTGGAGGATGATAGAGGGGCTTAGGAAGGAGCCAGTGGATAAGGAGAGATTGAAAATTGGGGGGAGAAAGGGCATCATTGAAGGACAGGCTCTTGGAGGATGATAGAGGGGCTCAGGTCAAGGGCACAAGTAGAGGGGTTGCTGGTGGCAAGAAGGTACTCCTCTTCCCTGGATTCTGGAGAGAGGTGTGATGTTGGAATGGTTTCAGGTGTGGAGCTGAGGAGGAGATGGATGGCCTCACTTTTTTCAGAGATGTATGGGGCAAGGGTTTCTGCTTAGAAGAAAGAGAATTGGGTTGGTATAGGTGGCTTGAGGAATGAAGAGAAGGTTTGGAACACACCCTGTGGGGAGGGGCAAGGAGAGTCAATCAGGAAAAAGTAAAAGGATTGCCTTGAAGCAGAAAGAGCCTAGCTGTGAGGGCTCTTCCAGAGCCCCCTGGGGACTAGGCAGAAACCAGGCAACTAGTCAAGTGAGGGCTAAGATGGCAAGAGGCAGTGTGGTATGGTGGAAAGAGCCCTGGCTGGGGAGTCAGAGGTTCTGGGTTCAAATCTTACCTCTGATCCTTCTTACTTTTGTGGCCATGAACAAGGCATACTGTCATCAGCCTCAGTTTTCTCCTCTGTAAAATGAGGCCTTGAATTGGATAGCCCGGAGGTCCCTTCCAGCTGCTGACTTACTTAGGCTTAGGACATACTGTGGGCCACCATTTGGCAAAACAATGACAGTCTGGGTAAGAGAAAAAGAGGAATCGGGGTTAGTTTGACTCCTGAGCAGAATGTGTTCAGGAATCATTGAAAGCTAATGATCATCTGGACGTCTTAGATGCTTAAGGCCAGCAGCTGCCCCAAGCAAAACACCAGTTGTGGCCACAGAAGCGCCAGAGAACACAGTGGCAGAGCTCCCTGTGGGCCCCTTGAAACAATTATAGCTCGTGGAAATGTCTTTATTCCTTCCTCCTTCCTTGTGGCCATAGGGTATGATCTCCGCTGAGAGCTTGACTGTCCTTAACTGAGTAATGGTGGTTACTGGGGAGTGGTACTAATGGAATCAGCCTTGACTTGAAATTATGATGGTGGGGGACAGGAGGGGAGAGAGGAAAGAAGAGGAGAGATAAAGGAAGGGGGATGGGGGAGAAAGAGAGAGAGAGAGATAGAGAAAGGAGGAGGAGAAGGAGGAAGAGAAAAGAGGAGAGAAGAAAGGTGTTGGTGGGGGAGGGTTCAGTGCCTTTATGCCGGGAGTTGGAGGTGTTGTGAAGAAAGCTGGGAGGCTAGACCGGGTAGGGGAATGTTGAATGTGGCTTGGGAGGGGTGGGGCTGCAGCGGTGCAGCGGATGTGGTGAGTGCTGCCGTTACCAGAGGCTGGCTCCTCCTGGGGCTTCATAGTCGCTGGTTCTAGAGTCCCTGGGCTCAGCCCAGCCTTCGGGCATCGGGGCTGAAGGGGAGCTGGAAGCCTTCCAGCGCTCTGGGTCTTCTTTTCATAACCTTAGCCTCAATCCAACAAGCTCTGACTCAGGGCCTACTGTGTGCTGGGTAAGGTGGCATACAAAGACAGAAATAAAAGTCCCTGCTTTCAAGGAGATGACATTCTACAAGGGAAATTCAATATAAACACAGATTCATAGATGCAAAGTAGTTTGGGGAACTCAGAGAAAAGTTAACATTGGCCAGTTACCTACAGAGACCACCATCATCCATCTCAGCATAGAAGTGCTGACCTTTCCAGTCAATGAATGGGCCAGATTCCAATAGAAATTAGCTTTGGTTGATATTACCAGTAGTTCAGAATTTAACCATAACTTTCACAACTTTTTTTTTTTTTTGGTGTAGACCTGGGAATCCATGGGCTCACGGAAAAGAAACTCCCGCTACCAATTCTGACTGGCCACTGCTCTGCATTTTATGGTTTTACAGAGATCAGTAATGTGCCCGGATTCATATAGCCACATGTATCAGAGGCCAAGGCCTTGACTTGCTCAGGGTCACACAGATAATACAAGCTCTGTACAGGACTTGAACCCACCTCTCCCTGACTGCCTCTACTTACTAGGCCACAACCTACAATGCTAGATTGTTAATGAAAGGTACCTTAGAGACCATCTAACCAAGAATTTCCTTTGTATCAGAGACCTCTTCTCTTTTAAATGCATAAAATAAAACACATAGGATTGCAAAGAAAACTTAATTATATTGAAATTTTATTATTTGTAATTTATTGTAGTATTAAAACTTGTTTGTAATTAAATATTAATTGTTGGTTATATTACTAAATAATAAAATTAGGGAAAACTGACTTCTATTAAATATTAAAAAAACATTCACTCAGGAACTATGTGAACACAATTACAAAACATATTTCACACAAGTGAAGTCAGATCTAAATAACTGGAAAAATATCAGTTGCTTATGGGTAGGCTGAGCTAATATACTAAAAATGACAATTCTACCTAAATTAAATTACTTATTCAATGCCATACCAATCAAACTACCAAAAATTATTTTATAGAGCTAGAAAAAAACAATAACAAAATTCACTTGGAATAACAAAAGGTCCAGAATATCAAGGGAATTAATGAAAAGAAATGCAAAGGAAGGTGGCCTAGCTGTACCAGATCTTAAATTGTATTATAAAGCAGTAATCATCAAAACTAATTGGTACTGGCTAAGAAACAGAGTCGTGGATTAGTGGAATAGTTTAGGTACACAAGACAGAACAGTCAATGACTATAGTAATCTACTATTTGATAAATCCAAAGACTCCAGCTTCTGGGATCAAAACTCACTATTTGACAAAAACTGCTGGGAAAACTGGAAAAGAGTATGGCAGAAACTAGGTATAGACCAATATATTACACCCTATACCAAGATAAAGTCAAAATGGATACATGATTTAGATATAAAGACTGATGCTATAAGCAAACTAGAAGAGCAAAGATCAGTGTCAGATCTATGGAAAAGGGAAGAATTTATGACCAAACAAGAGATAGAGAACATTATGAAATGCAGAATGGATGATTTTGATTACATTAAATTGAAAAATTTTTGCACACAGTCAATGCAACCAAGATTAGAAGGGAAGTGGAAAGCTGAGAAACAATTTCTAAACCAGGGTCTCTGATAAATGCTTCATTTTTCAAATATATAGAGAACTGAATCAAATTTATAAGAATGCAAGTCATTCCCCAATTGATAAATGGCAAAAGGATATGAACAGGAAGTTTTCAGAGGAAGAAATTAAAGCTATTTATAGTCATATGAAAAATGCTCTAAATCACTATTGATTAGAGATATGCAAATCAAAACGACTCTGAGGTACCACATCACACCTATCAGATTGGCCAACATGACAAAATAGGAAAATGATAAATGCTGGAGAAGATGTGGGGAAAATGGAACACTGATGCATTGTTGGTGGAGTTGTGAACTGATCCAACCATTCTGGAGAGTAATTTGTAACTATGCCCAAAGGGCTATAAAATTGTACATACCCTTTGACCCAGCAATACCACTTCTAGGTCTGTATCCCAAAGATATCATAAAAACAGGAAAAGGACCCACATGTACAAAAACATTGATAGCAGCTTTTTGTGGTGGCAAAAAATTGGGAATTGAGGGGATGTCCATCATTTGGGGAATGACTGAACAAGTTGTGGCATGTGAATGTAATGGAATACTATTGTTTTATAATAAATGATGAGCAGGCAGACCAGAAAAACCTGGAAAGACTTTTAGGAACTGATGCTGAGTGAAATGAGCAGAACCAGGAGAACATTGTATGCAGTAACCGTCACATTGTTTGATGACTGACTTCGGTAGACTTAGCTCTTTTCATCAATGTAAGGATCTAAGACAACTCCAAAAGACTCACGAAGGAAAATGCTATCCACATCCAGAGAAAGAGCTATGGAGTCTGAATGCAGATGGAAGCATACTATTTGCTCTCCTTTTCTTTTGTTGCTTTGTTTCTTCTTTCTCCTGGTTCCTCCCATTAGTTCTAATTCTTCTTTACATCATGGCTAATGTGAAAATATGTTTAATATGAATCTCTAAGTAGAGCCTATATCAGATTGCATGCCAACTTGGGGAGGGGGGAGGAGAAGAAGAGGGAGAAAATTTAAAACTCAAAATCTTATAGAAGTGAATGTTAAAACCTAAAAATAAATAAATTTATTATTAAAAATTAAAAAAAAAACATATTCACAGACCCCAGGTAAATAACCTCCGATTTAATCGAACGCCTTCATTTTACAGAATAAAAAATTGAGTCCCAAAGAAACAAACTGATTTACCTACCCAAGGTCATACTACTCATTAATGGTAGAATTGGTAGGAAGACCCAGGCTTTCCGATCCCCGGGCCAAGGCTCATTCCTTTATAGTTTAGTTAGCTTTTTTTTTTTCTTATGTAGATTTCCAGGCTCTCCCTTCCAGGGGGAACAATAATGAATAAAATGCCAAAACACTTGTTTTAGCAGTTCTCTGCAGAGAGATCTATCTTCAGGAGGCAAGTCACTGGGATGAATTCTTTTCACTTCATTGATGTGATTTGGCTGTTGTGACGCGAGCCTACCTCCCACCGACTTTATAGATGCCAAAGATAAACACTAATGGAATGTTGAAGAGCAGGCATTTTGCCCAGCAGAAGTTGCAGAAAAGGCAGAAAGCCCCTGAGAGTTACAGATGATGAAGATCCTAGTGCCGTATTGTAAGAGGTAGCTGCTTTAACCTGTTTTCACAATGGCACTATGTAACAGGCACACTGAACGTACAGCTTGGCAAAGTCTACCACTCGCTAAGAGACTGGGCGATGTACGAGTCGCTGCTATGTTGGGTAACTGGCTAACCTCAACATTAACCAAAATACTTGGTTAAGCAGCGAAACTAAATGAGAAAATATCTATTCTGAGCATTAAATGGCACAAGTGAATGCAATAAGCATTTATGTAGCACCCACTCCGTGCAAAGTGTTGCGTATCTCTGGATACAAAGTCAAAAATGAACCAATCCTTGCTCTCAACCAGTTTACAATCCACTACAAACTAGAGGGATCTAATATGGACTCAGACAACAAATTATAGCAGTTTGGCCGCTAGGTGGAGCAGTGGGTAGAGTGCTGTAGCTGGAGTCAGAAAGACTTCTTCCTGAGTTCAAATCTAGCCTCAGACGCTTACTAGCTGGGTGACCCTGGGCAAGTCACTTAACCTTGTTTGCTTCAATTTCTTCAGCTGTTAAAATAAGCTGGAGAAGGAAATGGCAAACCACTCCAGTATCTCTGTCAAGAAAACTCCAAATGGGATCATGAAGAGTTGGAAATGATTGAAAAACAATTCAACAACAACAGACAGTAGTTTGAGGAAGGACAGCATTAAAGAGGAGGATTAAGGGGAAATTAACATTAGCCAGTCAACTGAGACCAGTTTTAGCTGTGTAAGCATACCACTGCTGGCCTTTCCAGGCAATTAATGTGATAGATGTCAACGTTAGCCAGCCACATTTGCCATTTGCAGTAGTTCAGAATGCAATCATAACTTACACATAAAAAGATCCAAATTCTTATGACGTGAGTATGACAGTAAGCTTCGGGAAGGGTTTAAGGAAATGGCAAACCACTCTAGTATCCTTGCCAAGAAAACCCCAAATGGGCTCACCAAGAATGGGACATAACCGAAAACTACTGAATAACAGCAATAAGGGGAGAACATGCATGTATTAAACACCAACTATGTTCCAGTAAGGTGGCAAGGGCTTTACAAATACTATCTCATTTAATCCTCACAACAACCCCAGGAGGTAAGTGCTGTTATTATCCCCTTGTTACAGCTGAGGAAACTGAGGCAGACAAGTTAAGTGACTTGCTCAGGGTCAAACAGCTAGTAAGTATCTGAGGTTAGATTTGAACTCAGGTCTTTCAGACTCCAGGGTTAGCATTCTATGCACTATAGCACCGCCTAGCGGCCACCAAGGAGCTTCTAGTTCAGAAATGACTCAGAAGAAATCCTGAGAGAGAGTTAATTCTGCTA